CTCAAAGACTTAGCCAGTTATATAACTAGTAAGTGTCAGAGCCTAGATTCCAACCCAGCTTTCCTGACTAGAAGTTCAGTTCTCTTTGTACAACACCACATTACCAATGCAATGGAATAGAAGTGAGCAAATTCCCCCTGGGAAAGTACTGGATTTGGAATCAAAGGACCTGGGTTCCACTCCCAGCTCTGCTGCTCATCTGTGTGATCTTGGACAAGTAATTTCATTTGCCTGGCCCTCACTTTGCTTATCTATAAAAGAGAGGGTTTGAGCTCCATGGCCTCTGAGCTCACTTCCAGTCCTAGATCTCTCAAGGGTCCTGAGGTTTCTCCTTCTCAGAGTCCTTGCCTATTCTCTCAAGCATGCTTGCATCAGAGATCCCAGGACAATCTGACTACAGAGGTCATGACTTTGATGCCCTGGGGAAGACCCTTCACTTCTCTGGGTTTCAATTTTCCTCATCATGAAAGGGAAATCCTTGCCCTGCATAATTTACAGGCTGTTTTACACATTAAATGAGCTAATATATGTAAATATGCTTTGTAAATGGTAAAGTTCAGCAGTACAAGAAAAGGATTTTACCCTTTCTTCCCGTGATTGTTCACAGCCCTCTGCCACATTAAGCGTTTTCTCACTTTGCTTTGTATTATAGTTATTTATGTGCAAGCCTGTCTCTCCTAGGCTGTGAGATTTTTGAAGTTAAGGACGATGTGTGGGACCATGTTTCAAGTTCATCCTTCCCATCACCCATAAATAAATGTTTGTTGAATTGAAGGTTCAGTTTTTGCCCTTGTTGTCCACCTCCTGCATAATTTTACAAATCTTGGGCTTCAAATCTGAAAGAGACTTTAAAGATCACCTGCTTTAATCCCTTCATTTCACAGATGAGGAAGCTAAGGCCCAGAAATAGGACGACTTGCCTAAGGTCGCACTGTTGCTTAACAGCAGAGCTGGACTAGTTCTTTCATATAGGTCACTTATTAACAAACATGGTTGCGTTGCCCTACATTCTGTGTAGAGGAAAGCAATGAAAAGGGAAGATGGGGTGTTATTTTACCATTCTGCTTAAGCCTGGCCCCGGTTGGAGGGCTGAGAGAGAACTATGCCTGTTGCCATGGGGACAGGCTTTAGTATCCAGGAGAGATGGAAGAGATTTGAGACTAGGATTATTAAAGGGAGGAAAGTGCTTCCTGGGCTAGGTTCCCACAGCTGTCCAAGGAAAAGAGAAATTGTAGAGGCAAGCTGACCCTGATGGAAGAAATCCTGATGTGTGTTTTAGGGGGAGGGAGCAGAGATAGGGGGAATGGTGATTCAGGAAACAGCTGTTCCCCAGTCTTAGTTGGTCTTCTCTGACTTCTGTATGTGCTCTCATGCTTAGAATGCATTACCTCCCCTAGTTGAAATTCTTCTCTTCCCTCTAGTGAAAATTCAGGTTTTACCTTTTCTATCAAGCCTTCCCTCATGCCCCCAGTTGAAAGTGATTCCTCCATATTTCTTACTGGATTTTTATTTGCCCTTATCACATTCCACCTTGCCTTATACTTATATGTATATGTCTTAAAACTCTATTAGATTGTAAGCTTCTTAAGGTTGTTCATTTTCGTATCTTTTAGGCCTGGTACACAGTAGAGCACTTAGTCATTAAATTGAATACCACCTTCAGTTAGCCCAATGGCCACTAGATGTCGCCAAATGCAAATCTCATTCTGACTTCTTGGCTTTGAACAAAGTTTGTTGAGCAATGCTCTTGAACACCGGCAAGCCCATCCCATGCAAATTAGACTTTGAAGCAGCAGGTCTTGAAATTTGGTCTCAGGACGCTTTTATACTTTTAAAAATTACTAAGGACTCCAAAGACTTATTGTTTATGAGGGTTATAACTATCAAGGTTTACCATATTAGCAATGAAAATGGATTAAATATTAAAATATTTAATAATTCTTTAAAAAATAACAGCCCCCTTAGATGTTTATATAAATAACACATTTCTCATGAAAAAGTACCAGTGTTTTCCAAAATAAAAATTTTGGTGAGAGGAGTGACATTATTTTACATATTTTTGCAAATCTCTTTAATATCTAGATTTTTATATCTACATTTAGTCTTTTGCACTTACTATGTGATTTTGGTTGAAGTACATAAAAAAAATCTGGCCTCACACAGATATGTAGTTAGAAAAGGAAGGAATATTTTTATAGGCAAATAATATCTTAGTATTATTGTGAAAATAGTTTTGACCTCGAGGAACTCCTGAAAGGGTCTCAGGGATCTCCAGGAGTCTACAGAGCACGTTTTGGAAACCACTGCTTTAAAACTTCCCTTAGGATAAAGCCTATTGGAAGAGATTACAGAATCTCAGAGCTAGAAGGGATCTCAGGAACCATTCGGTCCAGTCCATACCTAAATAAGTATCTCCTTTCCAGCCTACCTGACAAGGGGGCTATCTAGCTTGTACTTGAATGCCTCCAATTAGAAAGAACTCACAGTCCCCAAGGCAGCTAATTCCAATTTGGGATGATATCAATTGTCAAAAATTTTATCCTAACATTGAGCCTAAATCTGCCTTACTGCTGATGCTGTATACTGTAATCTATTGATCCCCTGGAGCCAAGCAGAACAATTCTGTTTCCTCCTCATAGATTGTCCCTTAAAATATTGGAAAACAATTGTCTCATCTTCTCCAAGTTAATCATTCCCAGTTCCTTAATTTGAGCCTCAGGTAAGGCCTCTGACCACCCTGGTCAACCTTCTGTCTTACTTTGAGTGGCCTACATTCTAACTTGAATACAATACTCCAATGTGGTCAGAACTGGGCAGGGAACAATGGGACTGTAACCTGGACATTAAGCCTTTCTTATGGATAGACCTGAGAGAATCTCATAACCATCCCCACCTTTAGGTACACACACACACACACACACACACACACACACACACACATTCTGAAACACACAAACAAAAGTTTGTTTTACCTATGAGTAATAGTAATAATTACTGACATTTTTATCCTTTTTTAAAGATTGAAGATTATCTTTATAAGTTTTAGACCTGACATGGGAATTTTGTTTTGCTTAACTATGCATATTTATTATAAGAGAAATTTTGTTTGTTATTTTAAATAGGTGAGGGAAGGTAGCAGGCATAGGCTTTTCCCTTTTTGGCTCAAAGTAGCTGTAGTGGGGATGATGAAGGTAATATAAGAACATTTATGAGCATCTATGGCACTGGGTCTTGCTCCTAAATGGACTGAATTTGGGTGTGGTAAATCTCAGAACTCCATGACCCAAGCAAGCTCAAGGAGCAGGGGGACCTTGAGGGATTTGACACTTACAGCCAGGGATAAGAGAGACCAGTGAAGGTTTAAAAATTAGTCAAGAAGAAAACCCTGGGAGTTGGGCAAAGGTCCCTTGAAATAATTTTGGTTGCAAGGTGTCCTTAAGTTCAATCCTGGGAAAGCCTAGTCCAGGGGTGGGGAACCTGGGGCCTCGAGGCCACATGTAGCCTTCTAGGTCCTCAAGTGCAGCCCTTTGACTGAATCCAAACTTCACAGAACAAATCCCCTTAATAAAAGAATTTGTTCTGTAAAACTTGGACTCAGTCAGAAGGCTACATCCAAGGACCTAGAAGACTACATGTGGCCTTGAGGCCACAGGTTCCCCAACCCTCAACCCATAGGATTCTGAGAGCAAATATAGAGATTAATGATTAGCAATAAGGCAAGTCAGCTGGAGAAGGAATGAGGAATGGGACCAGGATACATGTATAAGGGACTGGCCTTTATGGAAGAGAAGACTGGAGTAAAGGCAATGAAGGATGATGTCCATGGGGGGTGATGTGAAGATAGAGAGAGGAGGGAGCTCAGGAGACTGGTTTCTAGTAAAGTAAGAGATAAAATTCTTTGGCCTGGGAGGAAGGAGAGAGTGATGTGGGAGACTGGAGCAGAGAAGAAGCTTGAAATGGCTGCTGTGGGGATGGGGTAGAGAATCAATTGGCAAGGAGTAAAGGGCTTGTCTTGTTGCAGTGAGGGCCCAGCTAAGATTCAATGACATATATTTGTGGTGGGTCATATCAACATGGCCATCACCCTTCTTCCGCCAGCTATGCTCAGTAGCCCCTGTTGTCAAGGAGCTATATGTATTGGGAGGGGAATATTTCATGGCCACAAATAAATAAACATGAGATAATTTGAGGAGGGCAGCACTAATGACTGGAAGGAATGTGAAAGGTTTTCCAAAGCTTGTGGCAACTGAGCTAAGTATGAAGATAAAAATTTTGAGCAGTGGAATTAACGAGAAAATGCATTCCAGACCCAGAGGACAGATTATGGGAATACATGGAGGCCAGAGATGGGATGTGAGTTTAGGGAATAGTTAAGAAGTGATGGGTTTTTCTGTGTGACTTTTGGCAAGTTATCGAATGTCTACAGGCATGTTTCGTCACCTGAATCTAAGTATTTCTCATCCTCAAAAAACCTTTGCTAGATCTTACCATCCCCTCGAGCTGCCATCCTGTATCTCTCCTCCCTCCTTCAGCCAAATTTAGAGTAATTCCAGGCTGTTTGCCCTTGGTACTTCCACTTCCTTTCCTCTTACTTCTCAGTCCTTTGCAGTGTTGCCTCCGCCCTTGTCACTCAACTGAAACTGCTCTTTCTAAGGTACCAGTGTCTGAATTGTCCATTTTGAAGGACTTTTCTCAGCCCTCATCCTTCTTGACCTCTTGGCAGCATTTGGCAGTGTTGGCCATCCTCTCCTCCTGGATATAACATAAATGATTTGACCTAAATGACCTGTAAGGTCCCTGATGAGCCTAATGATCCTAGTAGGTTTATTTGGAAATCTGCTATCTTAGTACTAATGACCTTAGACCTAGATTCCTGTTGTACTGTGCTAGAGCTATAGGCTGAATCACCATGAGTGAGGGACCAACACTCTCATTTTCAGTTCCTTTTTTTGTCTCTTATTTAAGACAGTTTGTCTAGTGTGTGAAAGAGAATAACATGGAGTAATGCTGGAAAGGTAGGTTGGAGAAAGACTATGGAGGGCCCTCGGTGCCATACTGAATATTTTGTATTTATCCTGAAAGAGTCATTGAAGAATTTTGAGCGGGGGAACGATATGGTCAGATTTATGTTTTAGGAAGATTATTTTGGCTGTTGTGTGAAGGATGAATTGCTTAGAGAGACTGGAAGGGAGAAGACTAATTAGGAAGCTGCCTTAATAGTCTGGTCTAGAGGTGATGAGGGCCTGAACCAGGGTGACAGTTGTATGAGTGGAGGTGAGGAAACAGATGTCTTGGAGATTGTGGATCAAAAGAGATAAGGCATATAAAGTCCTTTGTCAGCTTTAAAGTGATAGATAAATATCAGTTGTTATAATAATAACTATTATTATTGTTATGGAAGTAGAGTTGACATGACTTGGAAATTGGTTCAATATGGAGAGTGAAGGAGAAATGAAAGACAAGGATGATGCTGGGGGTACAAGCTTGGTAATTGAGAGCATGGGAGTGCCCTCAATAGAAATCTAGAAGTCGGGAGGAATGAGGGGTTGTGTTCTGGAAATGTTGACTTCTAGAAACTGATGGGACATCTAGAAGATGACTGTGGGTAGTTAGTTGAAAGTGTGGGAATGGAATTCAGGAGAGAGATGCAAGTTGAAAATCTGGATTTGGGGGTCATCTGCATAAGGGCAATAACTGAACACAAGGGAGCCAGTGATATCACCGAGTTCAAGAGAGTGGGTAGAGAAACAAGAGGGAAGTTCCCAGCACAGCCTTGGAGGACAAACTCAGATTTAGGGGCAAGGTAGGAAGAGAAAGCAAGAAAATGCAGTGCTGAGGAAACCAAGAGGCAGTTAGGTGGTAGAGTGGGTAGAGTATTGATCCTAAAGTCAGGAAGATCAGAATTCAAATCTAGCCTCAGACACTCCCTAGCTGAGTAATCCTGGGTAAGTCACTTAACTTCTCACTGTCTCAGTTTCCTCAGCCGTAAAATGGGACTAATAATAGACCCTACCTCCCAAGGTTGTTGTGAAGATCAAATGAGATAATATTTGTAAAGTGTTGGCATAGTACTTAGCATATAATAAATGTTTGTTCCCTCCCAAGAGAGGTAAGAGTATAGGATAGGATGCTTGGCAATATCAAGAGCTGCAGAGAAATTAAAGAGAATCAAAACTGAGCAAAAGCTGACAGATTTAGCCTAGGAAGATATGATATGCTGTAGGAAAATTCAGAGAGAGGGAAGGACAGTTTCAGCTCAGGAGAATCAAGGCTGCTGTTGGTAAAATCCTGCTGGGGCTCCCTCCTTCTTAAATGAGACAGAAGCCCTGGGTCCCCATGCCAATGATCACAAGTCCAGAAAAAAATGCTTGAAATACTAGCTATACCAGTCTGGTATGGGGAAAGGGAGAAAGGGGGCACAGTTAACAGGTTTATTTTCTCTTTTTTTCCCCTTAAGATTTTTAAATTTTTTAAAACATTTTTATTTAAAAGTTTTGAGTTGCAAATTCTGTCCCTCCCTCCCCTAGCCTCTCCCTGAGAGGGTTAACAATAAGATGTAGGTTATACATGTGCAATTATGTAAAACATTTCCATATTAGTCATTTTGTACAAGAAGATGTGAATAAAAGAAAAAAATGAAAAAAAGTGAAAAATAGCATGCTTCAGTCTGTATTCAAATAATATCAGTTCGTTCTCTGGAGTCAGATAGTATGTCTAATCATTAACTCTTTGAGATTGTCTTAGATCATTGTATTGCTGAGAATAGCTAAGTCATTTACAATTCTTCATCAAACAATATTGCTGTGACTGTGTAAAATGTTCTCCTGGTGCTGTTCACTTCACTATGCATCAGTTCATGCTAAGGCTTTCCAGGTTTTTCTGAAATCATCCTGCTTGTCATTTCTTATAGCACAATGATATTCCATTATAGTCATATACCACAGCTTGTTTAGCCATTCCCCAATTGATGGGTATCCCTTCGATTTCCAATTCTTAGCCACCACAAAAGGAGCTGTTATAAATATTTTTGTACAAATAAGTCCTCCCCCCCCTTTTCTTATCTCTTTGGGATACAGGTCTAGCAGTGGTATTGCTGGATCAAAGGGTATGCACAGATTTATAGCCCTTTGAGCATAGTTCCAAATTGTTCTTCAGAATGGTTGAATCCGTTTCCTCCTATAACTCATTCAGCTTCTCGTTCAGAAATTTAAATACTATACCATTTGGTGCATATATGTTTAGTATTGATATGACTTCATTGTCTATGGTACCTTTCAGCAAGATATAGTTCCCTTCTTCTTCTCTTTTAATTAGATCTATTTTTGCTTTTTGTTTTGTCTGAGATCATAATTGCTACTCCTGCTTTCTTTGCTTCAGCTGAAGCATAATAGGTTCTGCTCCAACTCCTTACTTTTAGCCTGTGTGTTATCTCTCTGCTTCAAATGTATTTCTTATAAACAACATATTGTAGGATTCTGGTTTTTAATCCATTCTGCCATCTGCTTCTGTTTTATGGGTGAGTTCATCCCATTTACATTTATAGTTATGATGACTAACTGTGTATTTCACTCTATGCTATTTTTTGCTTATTTATCCCCCACCCTTTCCCTCCTCACAAGTGTTTTACTTCTGATCACCACCTTTCTCAGTATACCCTCCCTTTTATCAGTCCCCTCCTCTTCCTTACATTATTCCCATCTCTTTTTACTTACTTTTAGGGTAAGATAGATTTCTGTATCCAACTGAGTTTGTCTGTTATTCCCTCTTTGAGCCAGTTTTGATGAGAGTAGGGTTTTTTTTATATAAATTTATTCATTTTTAGTTTTAAATATTCACTTCCACAAGTTTTTGAGTTCCAGATTTCTCACCCCTCCCCCCACCCCAAGATGGCATGCATTCTGAATACCCCTTCCCCTGGTCTGCCTTCTCTTCTATCTCTCCCCCCTCCCTTCTCTTATCCCCTTCCCCTTCTATTTTCCTGTAGAGCAGGATAGACTTCTGTACCCCATTTCCTATATTTCTTATTTCCCAGTGCATGTGAAAACATTTTTTTAAACATATGTTTTTAAAACTTTAGTTTCAAATTCTTCCTCTTCCTCCCTCCCCACCCACCCTCATTGAAAAGGCAAGCAACTCAATATAGGTTGTACATGTGCAGTTATGCAAAACACTTCCATAGTAGACATGTTGTGAAAAACTAACTCTATTTCCCTTAATCCTATCCTGCCCTCCCATTTATTCTATTCTTTCTTTTGACCCTGTCCCTCCTCAGAAGTATTTGCTTCTGATTACCCTCTTTCCCAATCTGCCCTCCTCTCTATAATCCCCCTGCTCTCTTGTCCCCTTCTCCCCCTATTTTCCTGTAGGGTAAGACAGATTTCCATACCCAATTGAATGTGTATGTTATTCCTCCTTAAGCCAAATCCTATGAGAATAAGATTCACTCATTCCCTCTCACCTTCCCCTGTTTCCCCTCCACTGTGAGAGACTTTTCTTTTCTGTTTTTTTTTGTGAGATAATTTACCCCATTCTACCTCTCCCTTTCTTCTCTGAGTATCATCCTCTCTCATCCCTTAATTTTATTCTCCAGATATGACCCCTTAATCTTCAACTCACCCTGTGCCCTCTATCTATCTATACTACATACAATTTTTTTCCTCAACTACCCTAATACTGACAAAGTCTCATGAGTTATAAATATCATCTTTCCATGCAGGAATGTAAACAGTTCAATCTTAATAAGTCTCTTATGATTTCTCTTTCCTGTTTACCTCTTCATGTTCCACTGAGTCCTGTATTTGAAAGTCAAATTTCTTTTAGCTCTGGTCTTTTCATCAGAATGCTTGAAAGTCCTCTATTTCACTGAATGACCATTTTTCCCCTGAAGGATTATACTCAGTTTTGCTGGGTAGGTGATTCTTGGTTGTAATCCTATCTCCTTTGCCCTCGGAATATTATATTCCATGCCCTGCAGTCCTTTAATGTAGAAGCTGCTAAATCTTGTGTTATCCTGATTGTGTTTCCACAGTACTTGAATTGTTTCCTTCTGGCAGCTTGTAATATTTTCTCCTTGACCTGGGAACTCTGGAATTTGGCTACAATATTCCTAGGAGTTTTCCTTTGGGGATCTCTTTCAGGAGGAGATCTGTGGATTCTTTCAATTTCTATTTTGCCCTCTGGTTCTAAATATCAGGGCAGTTTTCCTTGATAATTTCTTGAAAGATGATGTCTAGGCTCTTTTTTTGATCATGGCTTTCAGATAGTCCAATAATTTTTAAATTCTCTCTCCTGGATCTATTTTCCAGGTCAGTTGTTTTTCCAATGAGATATTTCACATTGTTTTCTAATTTTTCATTCTTTTGGATTTGTTTTACAGTGTCTTGATTTCTCATAAAGTCACTGTCTTCCAATTGCTCTATTCTAATTTTTAAGGAAGTATTTTCTTCAGTAATCTTTTGGACTTCCTTTTCCATTTGGCCAATTTTCTTTTTAGGGCATTTTCTCCTCATTGGCTTTTTGGACCTCTTTTGCCATTTGGGTTAGGCTTTTTTAAGGTGTTATTTTCTTCAGTATTTTTTTGGGTCTCCTTTAGCAAGCTGTTGACTTGTTTTTCATGATTTTCTTGCATCACTCTCATTTCTCTTCCCAGTTTTTCCTCTACTTCCCTTACTTGCTTCTCAAAATCCCTTTTGAGCTCTTCCAAGGCCTGGGACTGATTCATATTTTTCTTGGAGGCTTTGGATGTAGGAGCTTTGATTTTGTTGTCTTCTTCTGGTTGTATATTTTGATCTTCTTTTTCACCAAAGTAAGATAATATAGTCTGACTCTTTTTGCGCTGCTTGCTCATGATCCCAGCCAATTACTTGAGTTTTAAACTCTTTGTTAAGGTAGAGTCTGCTTCCAATGTGGAGAATGTACTGTCCCAAGCTTCAGGGGTTTGTACAGCTGTTTTCAGAGATACTTGTAGGGACCTGTAAATTTTCAGTTCTTCCAAGGTGGTATGATAAGGGGCGAGGTGTTTACTCCTTTCCTGGCCTGTGACCACAAGTATTCCTTTCTGTCCTGTAACTGTGAGGAGGGTTCTCTCCACAGCCACTACAAGCTCCACCACGCCAGCGCTCCTCCTCACCCCAGCACTGCCGCCCAGAACTGTGACCCAGATCCACACACGGGCAAAGCAAGAGATTCCTGCCTCAGCACTGGCAAAGAGATCCCTGCAATCCCTCTCTGATCAGCCACTGGATTCCCCCTCAGTCTGTGGGCCGGAAGCTCGGGAAGCAGCCCCCCCCAGGGCCAGCTCTTGGGGAATGGAGCTGAACCCCACCTTCCTCTCTGACCACAGACAGAAACAGACTTTTCCCACTGACCTTCTAAGTTGTCTTTGGCATTCCTGGATTGAGGAGTCTGGAAACCTCCACAGCTGCCTGAGATTCAGTCCTCTGAGGCCTGCTCCAGGTTCGCTGTGCTGCGTTCCCAGCCCGGCGCGATACACCTTTCTGATCAATCATCAGGTTGTCTTGGGCTGGAAATTTGTTTCACTCTATCTTTTTGTGGGTTCTGCTGCTTCAGAATTTGTTTAGAGCCATTTTTTATGAGTATTTGGAGGGGTTTGGGGGAGAGCTCAAGCAAGTCACTGCTTTCACTCCGCCATCTTGGCTCTGCCCCCCCCAGAGTAGGGTTTAAGCTTTGTCTGGCACCCCCTCTCCATCTTCCCCTCCATTATAATAACTCTTTCATGCCTCTTTTGTGTGGGATAATTTATTCCATTCAATCTCCCCCCTCCTTCTTCCAGTGCAATTTTCTTTCTCACCCCTTTATTTTGTTTTGAGGATATCATCTGGTCAAAGTCACCTTATATCCACACACTCTGTCTATATATACTCCTAATTGCTCTTATAGTAATAAAAGTTGTTAAGAGTTACAAATATTATCTTGCCATATAGAAATATAAACACTTTAACCTTATTGAATTTCTTAGATTTTCTCTTTCTTGTTTCTCTTTTTTTACCTTTTCATGTTTCCCTTAAGTCTTGTATTTGGAGGCCAAATTTTTTATTCAGCTCTAGTCTTTTAATTAGAAATGCTTGAAAGTCCCCTGTTTTGTTTAATGTCTATCTTTTCCCCCGAAAGATTATATTCAACTTTTCTGGGTGGGTGATTCTTGGTTGTAATCCTAACTCCTTTGCCTTCCTGTATATCATGTTGTAAGCCCTCCAGTTCTTTAATGTGGAAACTGCCAAATCCTGTGTAATCCTGACTATACTCTCCATGATATTTGAATTGTTTCCTTTTGGCTGCTTTCAATCTGTGAGCTCTGGAATTTGGCTGTGATGTTTCTGGGAGTTTTCATTTTGGGATCCCTTTCAGGTGGTGATCAGTTGATTCTTTCAAGTTCTATTTTGCTGTCTGGTTCTAATATATGAAGGTAGTTTTCTTTTATAATTTCTTGAAAGATGTCCAGGTTTGTTTGTTTTTTAATTATGGTTTTCACATAGTCTAATAATTCTTATATTATCTTTCCTGGATCTATTTTCTAGGTCAGTTGTTTTTCCAATGAGAAACTTCACATTTTCTTCTTCTTTTTTTTACTTTTTTGATTTTGTTTTATCATATTTTGATGTCCCATAGTCGTTAGTTTCCACTTGCTCAGCTCTAATTTTTAAGTAATTATTTTCTTCAGTGAGCTCTTGTACTTCCTTTTCCATTTAGTCAATTCTATTTTTTAAGGAGTTATTTTCCTTGGTAAAATTTTGTATATCTTTTCCCATGCTATTGACTCTTTTTCATGATTCTCTTGCATTCTTTTCCTTTCTTTTCTCAATTTTTCTTCTACTTCTCTAATTTGTTTTTTAAAATCCTTTTTCCCTTTGACCCAGCAATAGCACTTCTAGGACTGTATCCTAAAGAGATCATACAAATGGGAAAAGGACCCACATGTATGGAAATATTTATAGCAGCTCTTTTTGTGATGGTAAAGAATTGGAAATTGAGAGGATGCCCATCAACTGGGGAATGGCCGAACAAGTTGTGGTATATGAATGTAATGGAATATTGTTGTGCTATAAGAAATGATGAGCAGGCAGACTTCAGAAAAACCTAAAGACTTGTATGGTCTGTTGCAGAGTGAAGTGAGCAGAACCAGGAGAACACTGTACACAATAACAGCCATGTTGTGCGATGACTGGCTTTGGTAGACTTAACCTTTCTCTGCAATACAGGGATCTAAGACATCTCCTAAGGCCTCGTGATGGAAAATGCTGTACAAAGGAAGAACTATGGAGTTTGAATGCAGATCAAAGCATACTATTTGCTATTTTTTTCTTCTGTTGTGTTTTGTTTCCTCTTTCTGGTGGTTCCTCCTATTGGTTCTAATTCTTCCTCACAACATCACTAATTTGAAAATATATTTAATAGGAATGTATATGTAGAGCGTATATCAGATTGGGGAGGGAGGTGAGGAGGGAGGGGGAGAAAAATTTAAAACTCAAAAGCTGATGAAAGTTATTGTTGATAAATCAAAATAAATTAATAAAGTTTTTAAAAAACCTTTTTTAGGCTCTTCCAGGAATTCTTTTTGGGCCTGAGACCAGATTACATTTTTCTTTGAGGCTTCACATGTACCTATCTTGACACTGTTGTCCTCTTTTAAGTTTATGCCTTGATCCTCCTTATCACTGTAGTAACTTTCTATAGACAAGCTCTTTTTTGGTTTTTTGATTTTTTGTTCATTTTTTTCTGCCTGTGTGTGTGTGTGTGTGTGTGTGTGTGTGTGAGACTTGGTGTTTTCATGTGAGAGTTGGACTCTGGTCCTCACTATCACACGCTTTTTGTGCTGTGCCTTTCACTGTTTTTCAGAGCTTAGCTGCTTGCTTTCTCTGGAGGGTAGGCTTCCCTTTTGGCTTGTACTGGGGAGTGGGGCCTCCCCATTGGCTTCCCCAGGTGTGAGGTGTAGCTGCTGGCCCCCTGCTGTGAGGCTGGCTGGTGCTGCTACTCTTGGACCTTGCTCCCCTCCCGCCACAGTGAAACAGACCTTTCCTGCCGGGCTGCTGAGCTGCTTCCCTGCTCCTAGACTGATTCTGAGGGTTTTCTAGTTGTTTGGAGGGGAATTTGGGAGGGCTTAAGAGAGTTCCTTCCTCACTCCACCATCTTGACACTGCAAGTCCCAACGAGTTTATTTTCAGTTCTTTTCTGGGAAGACTGCCTGTAATTATGACTAAATCCTTACTCTGTGAGTAAGTTTTTGAGATTTCTTTGCCAGATTTCTGAGCAGAGCTGTAGGGCAGAGGAAGCAGCATAGGAATTCCAGAAACCTTAGGACCACAAAGACAGGAAGGTGAGTGGACGTGGACCCCTCCCCACAATCCCGTGCCCCCTAGACCCAGATCCTCAACCTGTGGCTCTCTGTGAAACTAAACTTGTTCCCGTAGTGAAATACAAACAATGTACACTTTTCAAGGCTCTGCTTCCGGGGGGGGGGGTGCGAAGAATGTGGGTGAGGCTAGGCAGGAATGTTAGTGGAAGGGTAAGGGATAGGTTATTTACCTGGCTAACTAAGGGGTTGGAGAAGACAGTGTCAGTAACCCATGTGTGTGTATCTACCTACGTATATATCAGTGGTCTTTCTCAGCCCTTTTTTCTTGACTTCCATCTCTGTACTAGCCCCCAGCAGACACCCCTCCTTCTGCTAGGGTTCGTGCTTAAGAGGAAGCCCAAAAGAGCATTTCCCTCTTCCGTAATCTGTAGAGAAGGGAACATCCGAGGAGGGCCCTCTGAAGGCGTGGGGCAGTTGTGGGCAGAGATGAGACCTCATTCCTGTCTGCTCCTTTTCCCCAAGGTAGGGCCTTTTTCAAAGAGGGCAGGAAAGTGGGTGTGGTTGCTGTATCAGCGAGTCTCTTTGTGCCCACAGATGCCGAGGCCCCATCTCCATCCCTCCATCCCCCAGCCCCGGGGCCAAGGGGCTCAGAAGGCTGCCTGTGTCCTGTTGAGCCTCTGCCTGGTCATTATATATATCCACGGGGAACCAGCTGCCCACACCCTCCAGTGGCTGCTGTTCTCCTTCACTTCTGTGCAGGTAGGGCTGCTGCTGAAGGGGGCCTGCTGCCTGGCTGAGGAACTGAGTCATATCCAGTCCAGGTGAGGTAGTAAGAAGAATGGATAGAGCACTGGCCCTGGTACTGGAGGAAAGCTAGGTGGCACAGAGGATAGAGCGCCAGGCCTGGAGTCAGGAAGACTGGGCTTCGTGAGTTCTCATCTGGCCTCAGGCAATTACTAGCTGTGTGACCCTGCGCAAGTCACTTAACCCTGTTTGCCTCAATTTCCTCATCTGTCAAATGAGCTAAAGAAGGAAATGACAAACCACTCCAGTATCTTTGCCAGGAAAATCCCAAGTGAGGTCACAGTTGGACACTTGGAATCCAAGTTGACACAGTTGAACAACTTGGAATCACAAGACCCAAGTTCAAATCCTGCCTTAGATACTTACTAGCTTTTTGACCCTGGACAAGTCACTTAACCTCTATCAACCTCAATTTCCTCATCTGTAAAATGAGGATGATAATAGCACCTACCTCCCAGGGCTATTGTGAAAATTAAATGCTATATAAATGCTATCTGTTATTATTCTTAAGATCTTCCTTGCCTCCCTGTTATCCACTACCTCTACCCTTCACCTTCAGACCCCTCCTAAGCATCTCTCCTTCCATTTGTCCTCCCCTTCCCTCATGATCCTTTACCTCTGCTCTGTACATGGGGTGGGACATAGTTCCTGTCCTATCAGGAGACAGCATCCTGCCTTGGTAGCAAGGCACTTGTGCCTTACATAACTCTTGTGTGGAGAGAGATGTAACTTCATACGTTCACACATGTAACTAGTCCAAGCCTGAAAGTTCTTACTTTGATCTTAGCTGATCTGAGGCCCATCCCCACCAAAAAACAGAAAAATAAAGTCTATTCTCCTCCCAACATTGAAAAAAAAGGGGAAGTCAAGGAAAGAATAGCAGGCCCAAGGGACTAGTCTTCACTCTTCCTGTTCTTACTTCTCTTCCCCCCCCACCCCAGTATTCCTGCATCAGCAAATATTCCATCCCCAGCGCTGTAAGAACCAGGCGCAGTTCCTCAGAGGTGATGACTGAGGCCCACGCTACATCCTTGTAATGGAGTCAGGGCCTAGATTCAGGGCTGGTCAGAAGAGCCTGGGTAGAATCTGTTAGTCCTTGCCTAGGCCATGAGCTCTGGTCAGGCCCCTTGGTATGTACTGGCTTCACTTTCTCTTCTGTTTTGTGTGACCCTCCAGGTACCACGGTAGTTACTGGCAGGCAATACGAGCCTGTACGGGCTACCCACTCCAGCGAGGAGCCCTGTTGCTACTCTCAGGATATTTCTGTGTCACCTTCTCCTGTAAGCCAAGCCCATCTCTCACCTGGGTTTTTGCCTTGCTGGGCCTCTCTCAAGCACTGAGCTTCATCCTAGGATTCCAGGTACAAAAAATCGGGGCAGGTAGATTTGGAGACAGGGGAGGCAGAAGGGCACTTGGCACCTAATCAGGAGGGAGGAAGCAGGTGTGAGTGTGTCTGCCCCTACCCCAGGAAGTGTAGGAGAGGCCATTGCTAGGTCTGTGGTTTTAAAAAACACAAATGAGAATTTGTTTTTGAGCCTTCAGTTACTCCATGTGAAGCAGCTGGGGATGCCACTTGAGTGGTAGGCTGAGTACTAAAAGATACGTGAGATCTGGCCAGGGTTGAGGGACTCTCCTGGGATGGATTCCTCTTCCCACTACTCATGAGGGTGTCTGCCCTACCCTCCAGAGCCTGAGTCCAGCTGAGATCTCTGAAGTCTGTGAAAGGAGACATCTCAATGTGGCCCATGGACTGGCCTGGTCATATTATATTGGGTACTTGAAGCTGATCCTGCCTGGTGAGCTACCCTCCCCATTTCATTCTTTCTCCAACTTCCTCTCGAAGACCCACCAGACAATAATAAGGACTCCCTACCTGTCTAAAGTGTTTTATAGTTTCCAAAGTGTTTTCACAAACGTCATCTCATTTATTACTCACAAAACCCCTGGGAGGTTAGATAGGGCAGGTATTATTACCCCCATTTCATAGTTAAAGAAATGGTCTCATAGTGGTAAAATGAATTGTCTAGGGTCCAAGTGAATCAGTGATGAAGTCAAGATTCAAACCCAGGGGTGAGGGGGGAAGAGGGGAGGGGTTATCTCCAAATTCCTAGGCTAAGTTCCACTGTTCCCTGCTGCCTCCTAGACAAGCCCTAGAGATGGCTGGAGGGGGTCTCCCTACACTTTCAGATGCTGAATATCCATCCATCAAATAGCACTATAGGGGAGTGAGGTCCAGGGACAAATGACCAGCCCTGAATCTAGGCTCTGACTCCATTACAAGGACGTAGCATGGGCCTCAGTCATCACCTCTGAAGAGCTGTGCCTGGTTCCTATGGATGGAATGTTTGCTGATGCAGGAATATGGTGGGGGGAAAGAAGAACAGGAAGAGAGAAAAATAGTCCCTGGGGCCTGCTTTTTTCTCCTTGACTTCCCCTTTTTTTTTCAAGGTTGGGGGGGGAGAGCAGATTTTATTTTTCTGCTTTTTGGTGGGAAGGGGCCCCAGGAGAGACTGAGTTTAGATCAAAGTAAGAACTTTAAGACTTGGACTAGTTACGTGTATGAATGCGTGGTTACAGCTGTCTCCATACAAGAGTCATGTAAGGCACAAGTGCCTTGCTACCGTGGCAGGATACTGTCTCCTGACAGGGCAGGCACTGCGTCCCACTCCATGTACACATATACATCACATGTGCAGCTGGGTGGGTCCATTGGAGAGGTCAGGTTAGGGGGGCACAGTTATCAAAAAATCTCCTGCCAGTGTACTTCCCTCTCTCTAGGAAAAGAAATACAAGGCAGGCTCTCTCCTGGTTAACTGTGTCCCTAGGAACATAGGGAGGAAGTGAGGAATAGGGAAAGATTGTTGGATTTGAAGTCAGAGAATCTGGGTTCAAATCCTAGCTCTTTTACTTACTACCTTTGTGAGGTTGCTCAGGTCACTTTATCTCTCTTGGCCCCTCATCTCTAAGATGAAGCAGTTGGACGAGATGACCTCCGAGATCCATCGTAGCTCTGAAATGATCCATGATCCTATGATAACCCACTAACTTTCTAGGGGTATGATAGGCATCAGGGAAATGGATGAAAGATGACCTGTCCTCCACCTCTTTTTTCCTTTCTTTTTCTTGGTTGTCTTCCCACCCAGGGCTCCAGGCCCGAATCCAAGTTTATAATCAGTTCAACAAGGATGTCTTAAGAAGTCCTAAGCTCCACATCCTCATCCCTCTGGATTGCAGGATCCCTGATGACCTGAGTCAGGCTGACCCTAACATTCACTTCCTTCAAGAACTGCCCCAGCACAGAGTCGACCGGGCGGGCATTAAAGGCAGGATCTATAGCAACTGCGTCTATACAATCTGGGAAAATGGGAAGCAGGTGAGTCATAATGCCTGGTGAGGAGAGAGAGGAGTAGAGCAGGGAAATTATGGGAGTTGGGGACAGAAATGGAGGAGAGAATATGGATTCTGTAATCCTGGGTCTGGCTCTGTCCACAGCTCATCATGTAATCTTGAGCAGCTCACTGCCCCTGTCAGAGTTTTCCCAAGGCTCAACTCCAAAAGCTTGAAGAATGAACAGCAGAAGCGCTGTGGGTTTCAGAGTGTAGAATAGTTCATCCAGACTTCCTGCCCTGTAGGGACCTCTGGGCTCTGTTGAACCACAACTTCTGCCCAGCCTGGCCAAGACTCTCAATTCAGGGTTCCCTCTGGAAAGATGCCCACAGTGGTGATGGGTAAGAATGACACGTGTAGCAGGCCAAGTGCCAACCAAGGAGCCAAAAGCAAAGATAGGTTATAGTCAACACCCCAGCCTGGCTTCCTGGCAGAGCAGAAATGGATTGGTAAAGACTATCATGCCCCTAGAAGCCTGTGTTTCCCAGCAGTCCAGGTGAGGAGATTCATGGAGGTGGATATAGGCCATAGCCCCCCAGGTCAGAGGGCACCAGCTGCCATTGCCATATAAAGGGAGATCACCATCCCTTCCTTTCTACCCTCACCAGGCTGAAGTCTGTGTCCTGGAGTTTGCCACCCCACTGCAGACCCTATTTGGCATGTCCCAGGATGCACGGGCTGGCTTTAGCCGGGAGGACCGCCTGGAGCAAGCCAAACTTTTCTGCCGGACACTGGAAGACATCCTTGAGGATGCCCCTGAGGCCCGTGACTGCTTTCGCCTCATCGTGTACCAGGGTGAGGGGGCAGGGTCAGTGTGAGCCCCAGGCCAGGGAGGACTTTTAAGAAGAAACAAAATGATCTTGGGCCAGTTTTAAGCCTCCACTTCATCTGTAAAATAGGGATAATTAAGGGGATAACAAGACTTGCACTACTTCTCTCACAGAGCTGTTGGAGGGGAAGTTCTTTGAAGTGCTATAAAAATGAATTCATAGCAGCAGTGAAGGAGCCCTGAGTCTGAAGTTAAGAAGACTTGAATTCAAATCTGGCCTCTGACACTTATGCTGTATGACCCTGGGTACAAGTCACTTAACCTGTTTGCTTCAGTTTCCTGATCTGTAAAATGGGGATAATCATAGCACTGACTTTCCAGGGTTATTGTGAGGATCAAAGGAGATAATATTTGTAAAACACTTAGCACAGTGCCTAGCATATAGTTGCTGCTTAATAAGTGCTTGTTTCCTTCCTTCCTTCCCATTTTACAGATGAGGAAACTGAGGCTGGGACCATTTAAATGACTCACTCATGGTCACAGAGCTAATAAGCCTCAGAATTGGGATTCTAATCCAGGTCTTCTCACCCCAAGGCCAGGATCTTTCCCCTCTACCTCACTGGCCCACTCTCACTGCCTCACTCTAGAGAAAAGGGTCACAGGGCAGGCTTCCCCAAGAACCTAGAACCATTGCCCTCTAAGGAATCTCAACCTGCAACTGAACAACATGGGCTTAGAAAAGTGGGGAGGAAATGTTCCTTGGAGGTCAGAAGGCCCTGGTTCTTCTAGTCTTGATTCTACCATGAATCCTTGTGGGACCTTGGGAGAGTCACGTTAATCCAGGGCTCAGTATCCCCAGTTGGAACATTACAGAGTTGGACTTGATTTTTCAGGTCCCTCCAGGGGGCCCCTGCTCCATATTTATTGGTATATTTTAGGTAAGGGTGGGTAGAGCCCCCACCCCCAGGATATAAGAATAGGCACTCTCCTCGTGTCCCAAGAGTCAATGGTGTGTGCACATTTACTTGTGCACTCATGTGTGACTGCATGTATGATACAAATGTTCCTGTAAACTTAGCACGTAGCAGGTGATTAACAGATGTTCCTTCATTGATCAGTTGTTTGATTTCACTCTCCAGAGCCTGAGGATCGAGCTCTGAGCAACTTCTCTTTGTCTAAAGAGATTCTTCGTCACCTTCGGCAGGAGCGGCAAGAAGAGTTTGTTATAGGGCCTGAAAGGGCCGTGGGTATGGCCATATCCTCCACCTTGTCCCAGGAGCCCCAGCTCCTCATCAGTGGCACAGAGCAGCCACTCTCCCTCCGTACTGATGGTTTCTAAGCAACAAACTCACCCTCTTACAACTTGGAGTAAGGCCAGGGACCAAAGGGACCTCTCTGCCCCAAAACCCAAGAAACCCTGGCCCTGGTCCTCTGGTCAGCCCATCGCTGTGGGCCAGGCATCTTCAAATGCTGGAGACCCAGCAATGCTGCTGACCCGTCTGACCTTACACTGAGAACAGTTTGGGACAGAAATATTGTTCATCCTCCCCATCCCTAACTCTGGGACCTGGGCTTCTTTACCTTTTCTGTGTCCTGGATCCCTTTGGCAGTATGGTGAAGCCTATGAATCCCTTCTCAGAATGCATAAAATAAAACACATAGAATTAAAACGGAAACCTATTACATTGAAATAAAGTTTTCAAAATATTTAAAAAATCGAATCCATAGGTTAAGAAACCCTGCACTAGAGAGTTTGTCAGGTAAACACCCCTCTCTCTCTTTCCTGTTGCTGTCTCACAGGAGGACTGGTACTCAGTAATACACCTCCCAGAGACCAAGTACTTACAAGATGCAGGATGATGTACCATGCACAGGAGAAAAGTCCTCTCCTTTCTTTTCAAGAGGATCCTGCAGCTATCTTCTAGCAGATTCCTCCAAAGGACTATACCTGTAGAGATATTCTCTTGCTGTCTTATTTTTATAATTGGATTGATATGTAACAACCAACCTTGAGTGCCTTTACCCTGTGCTGGACATGCAAAAGTGGAATGACTCAATCAGGGTCACACAGCTAATAAGCATCTGACCAAAGTCTAAAACCCGAAAGCAAGAGGCCTTACCTTTTACTCATCCAATTCCCCTGCCGTCCCCTCCTAGGTTCAAAGCTTCCCCACTCCTCCCAGCAGTGACCTCCTCCCCATTCCCACCTGTAACGGGTTTTCTTTTCATTTTCTGGGGAAAATATAGAATGGGTTTGTATGTTCTGAGGGAGAGGGGTCAAAGGCTGCACTGATAGACTCCTGGCAAAGGTCTTGTGTGTTTGTGTGCTGTTGTCCCTTAAGCCATACACAACAGGACACAGAGAGACAATAGTCAAACTCCTCTAATCTCCCCTTTGCTGGAAAAGGAAGGCTGGCTTTCTGGGCTAGCTCTGGAGATGTCTGGGGACATGGGAGGATTTGTTCTATAAAACTTGGACTCAGTCAAAAAGCCACACCCAGGGACCTAGGGCCTCAAGGCCTTAGGTTCCTCACCTCTGGTTTAGAGGTATCTAGGAGATCTGTTTTAGTAACTGTTATAAAAGTAGAACTGAAGAGGAAGTGTTGACTCTAGGAGGATGGAGAAGAGAGGGGAATGGATATTTTCCTTTGTCAAAATATTTTGGAGATACCATATTTCATCACATAATTGTCCCAGATTTTATGCCATAATTTTTGCAAGAAAGTGGGGTGTGATCATTATATGAAGCTTTAAAAATTGTGGCAATCCTTATCCCAGAAGCTGGGGTCTTTGGGTTTATCAAATAGTAGATTACTGTAGTCATTGACTACTGTGTCTTGCATACCTAACCTATTCCACTGATCCACCACTATATTTCTTAGCCAGTACAAGCAGTTTTGATGACTGCTGCTTTATAATACCATTTAAGATACAGAATAGCTAGGCCACCTTCCCCTGCATTTCTTTTCATTAGTTCCCTTGGTATTCTGGATCTTCTGTTGTTCTAAATGAATCTTATTATTTTTTCTAGCTCTATAAAATAATTTTTTGGTAGTTTGATTGGTATGGCACAGAATAAGTAAATTAGCTTAGGTAGAGTTGTCATTTTTATTATATTAGCTTGGCCTACCCATGAGCAACTGATGTTCTTCCAATTATTTAGATCTGACTTTATTTGTGTGGAAAGTATTTTGTAATTGTATTCCTATAGTTCCTGGGTTCGTTTCGGTAGGTAGATTTCTAAATATTTTATAATGTCTACGGTAACTTTAAATGGAATTGCTCTTTCTGTCTCTTGCTGTTGGTAATATACAGAAATGCCGATGATTTATGTGGGTTTATTTTATAGCCTGCAACTTTGCTAAAGTTGTTTATTACTTCAAGTAGTTTTTTACTTGATTCTCTAGGATTCTCTAAGTATATCATCATTTCATATGCAAAGAGCGATAGCTTTGTTTCTTCTTTGCCTATTCTAATACAAAAACTGCTGGGAAAACTGAAAAAGAGTATGGTAGAAACTAGGCATAGACCAAAATCTCACACCATATACCAAAATAAAGTCAAAATGGGTTCATGATTTAGATATAAAGGCTGTACTATAAGCAAACTGGGAGAACAAGGAATAGTTTACCTATCAGATTTATGAGAACAGAAGAATTTGTGACCAAACAAGAGATAGAGAACATTACAAAATGCAAAATGGATAATTCTGATTGAATTGAATTAAGTTGAAAAGTTTTTGCACAAACAAAGCCAATGCAATCAAGATTAGAAGCAAAGTAGAAAATTGGGAAAGAATTTTTACAACCAGTGTCTTTGATAAGGGCCTCATTTCTAAAATACATAGAGAATTAAGTCAAATTTATAAGAATGCAAGTCATTTCTCAATTGATAAATGGTCAAAGGATATGAACAGGCAGTTCTTGGATGAAGAAATCAAAGCCATCTATAGTCATATGAAAAAATGCTCTGAATCACTATTGATTAGAGAAATGCAAATCAAAACAACTCTGAGGTACCACATCACACCTATCAGATTGGCCAACATGACAAAGCAGGAAAATGACAAATCTTGGAGAAGATGTGGGAAAATTGGAACACTAATACACTGTTGATGGAGTAGTGAAATGATCCAACCATTCTGGAGAGCAATTTGAAACTATGCCCAAAGGGCTACAAAAATGTGCATACCCTTTGACCCAGCAATAACACTTCTAGGGCTGTATCCCAAAGAGATCAAACAAATGGGAAAAAGACCTACGTGTACAAAAATATTTATAGCAGCTCTTTTTGTGTTGGCCAAGAATTGGAAATTGAGGGAATGCTCATCAATTGGGAAATGGCTGAACAAGTTGTGGTATATGAATGTAATGGGATACTATTGTGCTATAAGAAATGATGAGTGGGCAGACTTCAGAAAAACCTGGAAAGACTTGTATGGTCTGATGCTGAGTGAAGTGAGCAGAACCAGGAGAACATTGTACACAGTAATAGCCACGTTGTTCGAGGACTGATATTGATAGACTTAACCCTTCTCAGCAATCTAAGACATCTCCAAAGGCCTCATGATGGAAAATACTATCCATATCCAAAGAAAGAACTATGGAGTTTGAATGCAGATTGTAGCATACTATTTGCTATTTTTGTTTTGTTTTGTTTTCTCTTTCTTGTGGTTTCTCCTATTGGTTCTAATTCTTCCTTACAGCATCACTAATGTGAAAATATGTTTAATAGGAATGTATATGTATAGCCTATATCAGATTGTGCATCGTCTTGGGGAAGGAGGTGGGAAGGGAGGGGGGGAGAACAATTTAAAACTCAAAAGCTTATGGAAGTGATTATTGATAAAATAAATTAATAAAAAAATTTAAAAATTGTGCCAGTATTATCATATTAGCTTCACCTGCCTTCCCTCTCCCATTGTGCCTATGGTTCTTTATTGGGTGGAGTGACAATACCATTCGTACTGCAGTGCTCTACACAAACTGCCCAAGTCGGCTTTCGGAAATATACTGACAATGCCCGTGTGCTGAGAATTCTAGGCTCACGGCTTGCAATGGGCGAGAGATAAATGCATATCCATATGCCACTGATGAATACATTGCTGCTCTGTTTACCTTTTAAGCAGCATGACGAACAGAATTATGCCATGCAATGATTATGCAGTGAAAGGTTATAAACCAGTTTTTGGACTGAAAAACAGGGTGTGACTATCATGCAGTGGCGATGATTATGCAGTGAAATATGGTACCTTATTTTCCAGAGCTAAAACCTAACAAGCAGGCTGTGCCCTGAGCTTGGCATAACAACAGTCCTTTGCGCCCAGGATGATATCACCCTCTGGCAAAGTGCCAGCACCAGATGTTCACTGAGAGATTTAGCTCCCCCTATTTCCAAGGGCCATCCATCACATATTCACAGTCCCTGTTCCTGTCACAGAACTCTGGTTCTGTGCCCCGAAGGGTGGGCATGACCCCCAAGACTTGAGACAATCTATTCCCACAGGGCCCATGGGAACAGTAACTCAAGACCTAAAAATGATTATGCCATGGTCCATCCTAGGATGTCTGTAAGACTTGCCTTTACTCCAACATGTTAAGCCCTCCTTCTTAGGAAGGGGGTTTCCATATGCATACATCATTCTCCTCACTCTGAAATTAATTAAACTTCTATTTGTCTCTTGACTCTCCTGTCTCTAATCTTTTCTGTTGGTTTGGCTCCAGGCACCCACATGTTAGAGGCTGGTTCTGATGTCATTGACACCTTCCATTCAGTGTTAAAGCCAGCTGCCAATGTCAGCTCTAATAGAGGTTGGGGATGGGGTTGAGTGAGGGGAAGTGAGGAGCCAGCATACCTGGGTTCCCCACCCCATGTCCAGTCTTGCTAGCTAGTGACACCAGCAGAATCACTTCCTTCCATAGGGAAGGGTAGGCCTCGGGAAATGAAAAAGCGTCCTGGAGGGAGTCATTTTTCTAAACAGGGAAACTAGGGGAAGAGAGATTAGAAAAAAGTAAACTAAGGAAAAAAGTTCAGAGGCCTAGTTGGGGGAGAAGAAAGTAGGTGTATGGAGGAGTAGAAGGAGGGATAGGGATGGAAGTATTAGAAGTACACTAACTGTACCATGTTTCCAGAGAGACCCCCAACTCTGCATTTATTTTTCTAATCTCAAGAAGAAGACCTGAAAAACATCTGCTCAGGCAAGAAATCCATCTTGTCCATTCTCCTTTGGTCTTGAAGTACAGATACTCTATTCCCTTTCCTATTAAATTTTTGTCCAACTATTTACTCTTTCTTTGGTGGTAAGGGGAGTCTTCAGATTTGCTCTTCACAGATGTGTAAGCTCCATGATACTGGAATGGGTGCAGAGGCTGGTAGCAGCAGGCCAAAGCTGGGTTTCCCTGTAGCTCTCTTGGGGCCCATTTCCAAGTTGGGAGCCCAGTGCCTTCCAATGGATGAGATGGATGCCACCTTCTTGCTTCAGGGGTGGGGGCTCCTGAGGGAGAGTAACCTGGACCTTTCGAAGCTCAGGACCAAAGTGGACAACCATGATGATGCAGATAGCCAATAAGACGAAAAGGGCTACAATGACAGCAAGCAGAGGCAGCCCATCCACCTTTGGCCCACGCTGATGTCCTCCCAGAGTGCCCAAACAACTTGGGGAATATTGTA